AAAGGGGTTAACAGGGAAGCGCGGCAGCTCCTCCCTGCCGGGGCGGGGGCCTCACCTGGGCGCCTCACCTGGGCGCAGCACCCTGGCACCGAGGTGGGTGCTGGGTGCACCCCGGCACAGGCCAGCGCCCGACACCCCCAAACCCACGCCCACCTCACACCAGTAAGTAGCGAGGGGCCCTTCCCAGCGACCCCCGGGCTGCTGGGGGGCACCCAAAGGTGGGAGTCCCCCCCTGGCTGCTCTCCTGCCACCGACATGGGCTGGGGCACACGGCTGGGACGGTGCCAGCAGAGAGGGGGTTCCATGGCCTTGTCCCCCACCCCAGCACCTCACTTTGGGGTCACCCCAGGCACCTGCAGCACCCCAAGCCTGGGTGTCCCCCACTTGGAGGGGGTCTGGAGGGATTGTGCCACCTGGGAGGGGATGTTGCTTGAGGAAAGGGGGTGTTAGTGGTGGCAGGCTGTATTTTACACCCCACTTTTACCCCATTTTCACCCCATTTTCCTCACTGTGCCCTTTGCACTCCCAAAGCCACCAACCCCCCTCTGGTGGTGACCCAGTGGGGTCCCCAACCCCAGTGCCACCACCAGATCATTCCCCTTCCCTGCCCAAATCCAACTGGTGCCAAAACCGTGCGGTATCAGCCACGATGGGACCGTGGTGGCCTCAGCCCTGCCACCATGTGCTCCCCCCACCCCACCCTGACTGCTGGGATGGGGGATCCCGGTGCTGGGGGGACGCAGCAGCCCTGGATCAGCTTCTGGTGGCACAGCACGACACCACGAGGGCCAGCCTGAATTTGGGGGGGATCATCCCGGTGCAATTGCTGCTCGGGTGGCCTTGGCTTTGCCGGAGCGGGTGACGAGTGGGAGGGTGATGGGTGACAACAGCCCCCAGAACAGCCAATTCCGCCCCAGGCGTCTCTTCCGCTCCCCGAACCCCGGCAGGAAGCGCGGCGGGTGCAGGGCCTGGCTCGGGGTGCCCGTGGCGTTACCGGAGCCTCCCGGTGCCCCCACAGCTGCCTCCCACTCCGGTGCCCCCCACGCTGCACCCCCAGCCTGGTGCCCCCCGCGATGGGTGACCGGGAGTCAGGGGGTCCCCGGCAGGCCCGGAGCAGGGTGTCGAGGCTGCTGCACTTGGGGAAGGTAGGCAGCACCCACGGGTGCACACAGCGGGGGGCTGGGGGTGGTTTGGGGTCCTGCTCCTCCAAACTCCCTCTTGGGTTTCCCTGGCTGTTTAGGGGCACTGGCGGGTGCCACGATGCCCGTTCCAAAGCGGTGAGGGGCACCCAGCCCACCCCAGGGGAGAAAACCCCACCAGGAATGCACCCATGGGATAGAGGGAGGTGCTGGGGGGCTCTGTGCTGGGGATCCCCCATGGTCACCCCCATGTCCCCTGTCCCCACGAGGGAGGGTGGCCCCCTGTGCTGGATTCCAGCCCTGCTCACCGTGGCAGGGGGGTCGTGGGGTGACGGGGGGAGGGCGAGGGGGTGTCATTGAGTCGCTGTCCCCCTCAGATCCAGGGTGTCCCCAGGGACACTGAGCCCACTGTCCCCCCACCCCGGGTGATGGGCAGGGCCAGGGTTGGGACCTTTGTCCCCATGGCCGTTAGTGAGAGGCCCCGGCTGTAAAACTGGGGAGTTCAAAGGGTGCCAGGAGGGGTTTCCCCACTGGCAGCACCCACCTGGTCCCAGAGGACACATCCCCCCACCCTGAGCAGCCCTGTGGGTGGGGGTCAGCCAGGCCAGGCCAGTGCTGGGGCCTTTATTTTGGGATATGATGATGGGGCTGTCAGCTCAGCATCTGGCGCTGGGGGGGAGACAGAGGCTGTGGGTGCTGGTGATGTGGGTGCTGGAAATGTCCAAGGGTGCAGGGGATGTGGGTGCTGGAAATGTCCAAGGGTGCAGATGATGTGGGTGCTGGAAATGTCCAGGGGTGCAGGGGATGTGGGTGCTGGTGGTCTGGGTGCTGGTGTCAGTGATGTGGGTCCTGGAGGTGTCCTGGGGTGCTGTTTTTGAGGGTGCAGGTGCTCTGGGTGCTGGTGTTGAGGGCGCTGGAGTGTGGGTGAGGGTGGGGTGGGTGTGAATGTTGGGGTGCTGGTGTCAGGGAGGTGGGTGCAGAGGCTGAGGGTGCACAGGATGAGCACATCGGTGGTGTTGGGGTGGCAGATGTTGGTGCAGATGTTGCGGGTGTTCGTGGTTTGGGTGCCAGTGATGTGGGTGCTGATGTGGGTGCTGGATGCAGTGGGTGATGAGGGTGCCAGTGACATGGGTGCTGACGCAGGGGCTGTGTGCAGGTGACACAGGTACTGGTGATGTGGGTGCAGGTGATGCAGGTGTTGTTGGTGGCAGGTGATGTGGGTGCAGGTGATGCAGGTGGGTGCTGATGTGGGTGCTCACACAGTGGGTGATGAGGGTGCTGGCTATGAGGGTGCTGCCTGCAGCAGGTGACACGGGTACCGCCGACATGGGTGCTGGCACTGGGGACCATGATGTCTCCCCACGTGCTCGGTCTGGACTCCCATCCCCTCTGCCAGCGGGTGCTCCTCCCCGCTGTGGGTGCTGTGGGTGCCCCCTCCACCTCCCACAACCCACACCCCATCACTGGCACCTCGTGCCCCACTCAGTGGGGTGCCCAGGAGGGCGCCCCAGCAAACAAGAGCAGGATCCGTCTCCTTAACCCCCCCACCTGAGCACCACTGTGGGGACATCCCAGGAACCCCATCCCACCTGCAGCACCCAGTGACCCCCTCGTGTCCCCCCCAGGCGCACAAGGAGCCGGAGGAGCCGCCCGATCCCATCTACCTCAACATCCAGGAGCTGCGGGAAGAAGCCGCCGCTGCCAGCTCGGTGCCGGAGGAGCCCGGCGGGTCCGTGTCGGACTGGGAGACACACACGGACACGGAGAGTGGACATTTGTTTTATTATAACCCCACGACGGGAGAGACCACGTGGGATTGTCCCTTTGGGCAGGCGGCCGACGGAGTGAGTCCCGCCGCCTCTCCCGCCTCCTCGCTCGCACACAGCCCGGAGTTTCCCGAGTGGGAGCAGCACGTGGATGAAGGAAGCGGACAGACTTTTTTCTATAATTCGGTAACAGGTGAGACGTCGTGGGACCCCCCCACTGCGGGAGACGCAGGCAGCCCCCAGGATATGTACCCTGGGGGGACACGGTACAGCCCCACGGAGCAGAGGGTGAGCACCCAGCGGGGCACGGGGGTGGGATTGGGACTGGGGGAGACAGGGATGGGGATGGAGATGGAAATGGGAATGGGGATGGAGATGGAGACAGAGGTGGAGATTTAGAAAGGGATGGGAGATGTGATGGAGATGAAGATGGAGACCGAGGTGGAGATGGAGACAGAGATGGGAGTGAAGATACAGATGAAGATGGGAATGGAGACAGGGATGGAGAAAGGGATGAGAATGGAGAGAGAAACACGGATGGGGTGGAGATGGAGACAAAGATGGAGATGAGTGAAGTTGGAGATGGAGACAGGGATGGCAATAGAGATGGAGATGGAAATGGGGATGGAGATGGGAATGGATATTGGGATTGATATGGAGCTGGAGAAGAGGATGGCAATCGAGATGGAAACAGGAATGGGAATGGAGATGGAGATAGAGATGGAAACAGAGATGGAGATGAAGACAGATGAAGATAGAGATGGGAATGGAGACAGGGATAGGGATGGGAGTTAAGATGGATATGTAGGTGGAGACGGGTGGGAATGGGGATGGAGATGGTGGAGGTGGGGCAGCCCCACCTGGGTCAGCCACACGGGGATACAGATGCTCTTGGTGGGGCATAAGATCCTGACCTGTCTCTTCTTTCCAGCCTCCCACTCCAGAAACAGACTATCCCGACCTGTCTCCAGATGAGCTGGAGGGTTATCCCGAGGAGGATTACTCGCCCATGGGCTCCTACGACCAGGGGTCCACTCTCTGCCTGTCCCCAAGGCGCCCTGAGGAGCTGGGCTCACCCCCGGGCTGGTACGGGCACGGCCACCACGAGGGAGTCGTGTTCTACGCTGAGCACTTCTCTGACACGGTACGGGGACAGGGGTGGGGTGGGGAGAGGGGTAGGGATAGGGTTGGGGATGGGGATGAGGGCAGGGAAAGAGACAGGGAATGGAACAGGGATGGGAACAGGGATAGGAACTGGAATGGGGACAGGGATGGGATACAGACAGGGACAGGGGCAGGGACAAATATGGATATAAGGGTGTCTATCAGGAATGAGCATCCTCACAGGGCCTCAAACCAGTGTGTAGGGTGAAGACCAGCACCCACCTGGCAGGAGCACCTCAGGCATCGCCTGATCCCTCCCTCCCTCCCTCCCTCTCTGCCCAGGTGCCATCAGGTGGCCGCCACCACCGTGCCAGCAGCGGCTCCAGCCAGGACAGCGGGCTCTTCGCCTGGCACGGCACCGTGTCACCGGCACTGGGCATCAAGGAGGAGAAGGTGAGAGCCCAGGGAGGGGCACCCAGCCCTCCCCCACCCCAGAGCCAGGCAGGGTAAGGGGCAAACCTGACACCCACCCACCATCCCCCTTTGCCTTCCAGTTCAAGAGCCTCGAAAAAGCCGGGGTGCTCAACCGGACCAAGACGGTGGACAGAGGGAAGCGGCTCCGGTGAGCACGTCCTGGTGTCCCCCAGCACCCAGGGAGGGAGTCCAGGGGGACAGAGGGGACGGGGCTGTGCTGTCCCCCTGTGTGACCTCTCCCTCTCTGCTCTCCAGGAAGAACTGGAGCTCCTCCTGGACGGTGCTGGAGGGGGGGATCCTCACCTTCTTCAAGGACTCCAAGCACTCGGCTGCCGGTGGCTTGGTAAGAGCCCCTACGGCCTTGGGAGGGGGGCAGCTCCCACAGGATGGGACCAGCGCCCACGGGACAGGGCCAGCACCCATGGGATGGGGTCAGCACCCACAGGATGAGGGCAGTATCCATGGGACAGGCCAAGGACTGATGGGATAAAGACAGCACCTGTAGGAGAGAGGCAGGAACCCATGGGATGGGACCAGCACCCACGGGATTGGGCCACCATCCATGGGACAGGGGAACATCCCACGGGACGGGGCCAGAACCTGCAGGATAGGACCAGGCCCCACAGGCGAGGGCCCACACCCTGCACCAGGACCCCCCAGCACTGGGTCCCCCCACACTGGGGGGGGTGTGTGCTCACACCCCCAGCACACACACACTCCCCACGGGACCTGGGGGGAGCCAGTGTTGGAGCACCCTAAAACACACCCAGATCTGGTTTGAGAGAGCAGCAGGAAGCAGTGCCAGACCCAGCCCCCCGTGCCCAGCCCCCCTCTCTGTGCCCAGCCCGGATGCAGAAGCTGCCCTGGCTCTTGCAACACCCTGTGGTGACGGTGCCAGGGGAAGGACAGGGGACACATGGCTGGGGGTGACACGGTGCTGGCCATACCTCTGGGGTGGGGCTTCACTGGTCTGTCTGGGGGATGCAAGGGGTCTGGGGTGAGGGGAAATACGGCCAAAGCACCCCAAAAACCAGTGTGTGGGGAAGGCCAGTGAGTCTGATGCTGTGAAAACCTCAGGGGACTGTCCCTTCCCTGCAGACAGTCACCCACTCTCTTCCTGGTGTGTCACCAAGAGGGACCCCAAAGGACAAGCCCCCGCCCCCGGGTCCCCTGGCAGGGCTGGGGATGTCCCCCAAGCTGTAGGTGACAGCCACAACCCCCACCCCACCGTGGCAGCTCTGAGCCCTGGTCCTGAAGAGACCATGGGAGGGGACAGAGGGGACACCTGCCACCCCTGCCTTTCTGGAGGAGGGCAGCCCACACACCCCCTCAGCAGGACCCTGGTGCCCCTGTCCCCTCTGGGCAGGTGCCACCCTCAACCCCTTGTCCCCACAGCGGCAGCCCAGCACCCTGACCACCCCCGAGCACACGGTGGAGCTGCGTGGGGCCGCCCTGGCTTGGGCTGGCAGGGACAAGTCCAGCAAGAAGAACGTCCTGGAGGTGAGTGGGTGACAGTGGGGGGACACCAGTCACCCCCCAGAGTCCACACATGGCCTGCAAGACAATGCCAGGCCTGCCTGGTTCACCCCAGCAGTGCTGGCAGTGGGGACACCGGGTGACATCCAGGGGCAGGGAGCACAGGGACTGTGCTGTGGACACTGTCCTGTTCTGACATGGAGAGGTCACCCGGAGACATCCTGCCTCCCAGAGGGGTTTTTCCACTCGGGCTTTGCACAGGGGGGAGGTTTCAGCCGCTCCAGCCCGCCAGCAAACGGCAACATTTGGGGTCATCTCCATAACGAGTTGGGTGCTGTGCTCAGCCACAGCCTGGTTGCCAAATCCCGGCGGTCGTGGCAGCCCCGTGCCCTTGCCCTGACCTTTGCCCGTTGCTCCGTCAGCTGAGGACGCGGGAGGGCTCCGAGTTCCTCATCCAGCACGACTCGGAGCAGATCATCACCGCCTGGCACAGGGCCATCGCCGACAGCATCGGCCGGCGGGTGAGCAGGCGCCGGCCACCCCCCGCCCCACCACCCTGGGGACGGGCCCGGGGTCTCACAGTGACCCTTCCCTAGGGCTCCGACATCCCCGGAGAGGAGGACGCCGAGAGCGGGGCTGAGTTCGGCTCCCGGGAGAAGCTGGGGAGCGGCGAGGAGAGGAGGGCGGGTGAGCTCGGGCGCCCTGGGACGGGCATCCGTGGGGTCTCCGGCTCCCCGGAGGTGGGACGTGGCAGGAGCCCCCTCGGGACGGGGCTGAGCTGTGCCCTGTTCCCCCAGTGGCCGGGCAGGGGCCGGGCAGCGCCAGCGCCGAGAGCGACTCCAGCAGAGTTCGGAACAAACTCCGCAAGTTCCTGCAGAGGCGGCCGACGCTGCAGAGCCTGAGGGAGAGGGGCTACATCAAGGGTGGGTGTCGGGGTGGGGATGGACCGAGGGGGAGGGCTGGGATGGGCTGCTGGGATAAGGATGCATCAGGCACCAGGATGGGGTGATGGGCTGGGGATACATCGAGGTGTTGGAGAGAGGCTGGATCCAGAGTGACTGCTGGGATGGGGTGCCAGGAGGGGCCTGCATCAAGAATGGGTGCCTAGAGGGGGCTACATCAAGGGTCAGTGTCAGGGTGGGCTGCATCAAAGGAGGGTGTTGGGATGGGGCTTGGATCAAGGGTGGGGGCTGAGATTGGGTGCTGGAATGAGGTGCCAGGATGGGGTAATGGGATGGGCTTGCATCAAAGGTGGGTGTCAGGATGGGGTGCTGGGAGGGGGCTGAATCACGAGTGGGTGTCAGGATGGGGATGGATCAAGGGTCCTGGGTGCTGGGATGGTGTGTCAGGATGCAGCTGGATCAAGGGTGGGTGTTGGCGTGGGGATACATCAAAGATGGATGCTGGGATGGGTGTCAGGATGGGACTGCACCAAGGGGGATGTCAGGATGGAAACAAGTCAAAGATGGGTGCTGGGAACGGGTTCCAGGGTGGGTCTGAATCAAGGATGGGTGCTGGAATGGGGCTGAGTCCCCTCGGGATGTCCCCAGGTGGGAGGGGAGGTGGGGACAGCTGAGGATAGAGCTGGGACAGTGGGTTGAGAGACCAAGCCCAGCCCTGACCCGACGTCTTGGTGATGGGCTTGGGCATGTCCCATCCCCTCCAGCCTCCCCGGTGGCACATCTGTATGGACACAGGACTCTTTGTGATGTGCCCAGCCCTGTCCCCCAGCTGCCACCCTCCCAGTGTCCCCTGGCCGTGCTCATGTCCCCGTTGTTCCCCAGACCAGGTGTTTGGGTGCTCGCTGCTGGCGCTGTGCGAGCGGGAGCGGGGGACGGTGCCGCGCTTCGTCCTGCAGTGCATCCAGACCGTGGAGAGGAGAGGTACCACCCCGGGGACAGGGGTGGGCATGGGGACAGCTAGGGGCACCAGGGTGGGGACAGCTCTGGGGACAGCCTGCAGGGCATGGCTGGGTTTTCCCTGGAATCCTGGTGCTAGCTGTGGGATCGGCCTTACCGTCGCTGTCACCATGTGCCACCCAGCTGTGGGGGACAGTGGGGACACGTGGGGACCCAGAGCTCCCTAGAGAGTGGCTGCTGTCCCATCCTAGTGTGGGTCATGGTTAACTGGAATCTTTCCCCCCTCTCCATCTGCCAGGTCTGGACATCGATGGGCTATACCGGGTCAGTGGCAACCTGGCCACCATCCAGAAACTGCGCTACAAGGTGGAGCACGGTACGGTCACCTGCGGTGGCACCGGGGGAAAATGGGATATAACCCCCCTCCAGGGGCAGGGGGAGGGGGGCACAGGGACCCTGGGGCTCTGGACTCACCTGAGGTGCTGCCCCGGCCCCCAGACGAGCAGCTGGACCTGGATGACGGGCGCTGGGAGGACATCCACGTTGTCACCGGGGCG